TTCCACACTTACCCTCTGTACAGTGTTAATTTTGAACGAGAAATATGATAGATTATAAATGAAAACTTATAAGATAAAAGTAAAATACATACTTGGGGTTTTCCAAGTTCTAAAAATAGCACTCATATTTCGATGTATAAAGAAAATGGGGTAAGTTTTTACTTCTTTAAACTGTGAAATTTATTAACAGATTTTTGTTATTTCTAGTCGTTTTTCAGTGAACATAGTACAGAAATATGTAGCAGTTTGCATCTATAATCATGTTAATATTCGCTAAACTAGACCGCGGTTACAGCGTTTGGATAAAAAAAAATCCTTGCAATTCAAAAAATTCCCAAGTTTTCTCTGGTGAAAAAAAAATCATTTTCTGTGTGAAACCATGGACATAACAGATGTTTCTTGTTGTATAACTACATGACTGTGCACTAAGGTTGTGATTCCAAAATGGAAAAAAAAATCTTCCTGGTTCTAAATTAAAGGTTCATAAAATAACCGTAATAGAGAGGAAATAAATAAATGAAAAAAAAAGAATAAAACGTTAAGGACTAAATTATTCCTACTCTTAGTTTTTTTTTTTAAATAAAAATAGAGAAAGCACATTTTGTTTTTGAATCTAGGTATTTATTTCATAGAGAAAAATTAGATGGGGAGGGGGGACATCTTAATAAATATTTATATAAAATTGATTTCAATTTCATGAATTTTGCAATGCCCTGTACATATGAGGAAAAAATACCCTATTTTTTAGCTACATGTAACATAATAACAAGTTTGCATGTATATTTTTTTATCTCCCAGAATTGTTCTTGTATAAATATAGGTACTTTTCAAGGTTAAAAGGTCAAGGACATTGTTAAAAATGTCATAAGGCTTATTAATTTATGTTGCTTTATTCTCTTATCAATATATAAGTATGACATAATCATACTAATGGTGTTGAGAATAAAAAGTTATATTTGTGTATCAGCAAACGAATACTAAAATTGGGGGTAGGGGTAGTAAATGCTTATTTATTCCAAAATATCCTGGTAAAAAATATTTTATGTATTTTATTTTTGTACAATATTGATTAAAGTCATTTTCTAGCAAAGTAATTTTTAGCCCACTCTTTTCTTTTTTTAATTCAAAAAATTTAGAATTAATTGTTTTTATAAGAAATGCACACTTAATATTGAGTAACGTATTTTAATCTGGATATTTTACTAGTTAATTGTAACTTTAAAAAAATTCTTTTATTATAAAGCGTCTATGTTAATTTTCTTCATCTAAAACTAATTTACAGTCTGAAAGTGAGTTCATTTCACAGAATTCTTCTGGTATAACACATCCTCCACTGTTTCCGACAGCGGGGGTATGATTTGAAAATCCTACTTTTTTCAAATACGTCTGGACAAAACTTGATGCAACTTTGGAATTAAAGCCTCCAAACACTAAAGATAAAGAAATATAAAGTAAAAATTCATTTTTCAACAATGCTTGTTATACATCTAATACCTTAAATAGGTGTAAAATGTAGGCTGGAATCAGGAGTTAGCGTACGTAGTTCTTTATGCAAGATCATGTTCATGGTGATGTTGTTTTACAAGCCCCATATAGCCACACTCGGTCAAAATGATTCATTTGTCTCAAATTCAAATTTATATACCTAATGTCCCCTCACTGACATCGAAAGATGAGGTCATCAAGTACTACTTGTTTAGTGAAATGAAAAATCCAGAGAAATCAAATCGGAACTTCTTGGGTGTTTTCTATAACCCTCAATCAAAACCTCCTCTTTCTTTGATTGAAGAATTTCATTGATTCTATTATTTGAGTTTCCCTCTGTTACTCCATAAACAGTCGAGGAACCAACCTCGCACACACGTTGATGGGCCTTCTAAAGAACTATTAGTAAGTTGTTTTATGAAAAGTAGTCTCAATATCATCATAACTAAATAGGAAATCGTCTTTCACTATTACCAAAGCAGTTTGTTCGTATGTTTTGTTCTACCTGTGTATTCGAGAAAGAAGTCGCTAAGAAAACGCTGATTTTGGGTGAATGAAAAAAATAACCAAATACATATTTATCAACCCATAATAAAAATAAAGGCAATAAAAATAGATTTGTACGTGTATGTCTTTCGATACACATACATAAATGCCTGTCAAATATCTCATTGATATTTCAATTATCTATAACTGAGTATGTGGCTACTAAATCTTTCAAGTCTTTAGAGGAAACTAAAAAAAACCATTGTTTTGAAATTCTACTGTCAACAACTTACTGTTATTATGACTGTTGCTTTGCAGTTGATGTTCCTAGCTTCTGTATGGTACACAAGATGGCAATATTACCAGATCCTCAGACATGCGCCAAGTATTTTAATTGTTCAGACTATGGTGGAAGTCATATCGAATGCAGATATCCAGATTTGTATTCTACACAAGAGAAAAGATGTGTTAATTTCACCCTGGTTAAATGTGATTCCAGAACAGAACCACAGGCTCCTTGTAAGAAAACAGCTTAATATTATATTATACACATAAAAAATAGCTTAAGGTAGGACACAATAGAAAGGCCAAATTTTTCCTCAAATTCAATTTTTCTGAAACTTTGATATTTTCTTCTAGGATACAAAATCTCTCTATATATGACATGAAAAAAATTTAACCACACATTTTTTGCCCACATAGTCTGAAATATGGCCCATCAGACCACTGTACGAAGATTGTGAAATCAGACATTTGACTTGAATATGAGCCTTATTTTAGAATTATCAATTGATCTATCGCAAATTTGTGTAATACTTTTAATAACAATAACCTTTTTGTTACTTTTAATCAGTAAGTCATATAGATACTGGAAAATTTAAGTAAAATATTAAGTAAAAAGAGAAAATACGTAGCGTCGGAATTGAAAATTCACATATAAATATCCGATAATAAAAGTTTTCTTAAGAGAAAATGTATAATTCATTTTTTTACAAAAAAAAAAAAAATCAACAGAATGATTCAAATGGGTCCTAGAATAAAATTAGTAAAAATAAAAAATATTGATCCAGTGGTTTCAGATATTTTGGCGATTAAAAAAAATTTTAATGGCAAAAAAAAAACTAAAAGATTCAGTAGATGACGTCACAATATTTGACCTTTGACCTCTTGATATCACCTTGACCTTTGTAGTACATAAAGAATGGAGACTCACTATTTACTTGTCCAAATATCAGCCGAATTGAAAATTAACCTATAAATATCCGACAATTGAAGTTTTCTTAAGAGAAAATGTATAATTCATTTTTTTTACAAAAAAAATCAACAGAATGATTCAAATGGGTCCTAGAATAAAGATAGTAAAAATAAAGAAAATTGAACCCTTGGACATTTTTACCTTTAAACCGAGTCCACCCAATAGTGATTTTCATTACACGAAGCGCCGTTTTCTTTCAAAAATTGCAATGTTGTTCGATCCATTGGGCCCATACGAGCCAAAATTCTTCTACAAAAAATGTGGACTGCAGGCCTTGACTGAGATGACCCACTAAGTGATGGACTTGTCATGAAGGCCGAGAAGTGGTTTAAGGAGTTAACAGAGCTATCACTTATTGCGGTACCGAGATGTCTTCGTCATGGTGAAGTTGTATCAACTTAACCTACATACCTTTGTTGATGCCTCACAAGATGCGTATGGTGCTGTCGTCTATCAGAGATGTATTTACAGTAAAACTCGGTTATAACGAAGTCACTGGGACCTATGAAATTACTTCGCTATATCCGTAATTCGTTATATCCGTAGTAGAATTCGTTAAATTTATATAGCTGGGGATCCAAGAAAAATTCGTTATATCCGTGTTCGTACTAAACGAGTTTTACTGTATGAAGATGGAAATGTGTCGGTAAGATTCGTCACTGCAAAATCTGAAGTGGCACCACTTACAGCAGTAAGCATACCTAGACTTGAATTGATGGGTGCAGTATTGGGAACCAGATTGACTCTCTCTGTGATAAGCGCCGTAGAATTGGACATTGAACAGTGTACATTCTCGACTGACAGCATGAATGTTTTGTGTTGGATCAAAGCTCGAAGCAGAAGTTTCAAGCCATTTGTAGCTAATCGCATAGGAGAAATACAGTCGGCCTCAAATCCAAGGCAATAATTCTACGTACCACCCTAACAAAAAAATACTATAGTTAACTATAGTTAACTATAGTTTACTATAGTTAACGATTAAGTGATAACTTTGACACTTTGAAAACTTTGATTTACTATAGTGATAACTTTGACACTTTGAAAAACTTTGACGAAAACTTTGACACTTTGAAAAACTTTGACGAAAACTTTGACACTTTGAAAAACTTTGGCGAAAACTTTGACACTTTGAAAAACTTTGACGAAAACTTTGACACTTTGAAAAACTTTGGCGAAAGCTTTGACACTTTGAAAAACTTTGGCAAAAACTTTGACACTCTGGAAAACTTTATCAAAAACTTTGACACTTTGAAAAACTTTGGCAAAAACTTTGACACTTTGAAAAACTTTATCGAAAACTTTGATACTTTGAAAAACTTTATCGAAAACTTTGATACTTTGAAAAACTTTATTGAAAACTTGGATACTTAGAAAAACTTTATCAAAAACTTGGATACTTCGAAAAACTTTATCAAAAACTTAGATGCTTTAAAACTTTGAAAAAGTTTATTGAAAACTTTGATACTTTAAAAAACTTTATCGAAAACTTGGACACTTTGAAAAACATTATCGAATTCTTTGATACTTTGTAAAACTTTATTGAAAACTTGGATACTTTGAAAAACTTTTTCGAAAAATTTAACACTTTGAAAAACTTTGTCGAAAACTTGGATACTTTGACACTTTAAAAAACTTTATCAAAAACTTTGAAAATTTAAAAAACTTTATTGAAAACTTGGATACTTTAACACATCGAAAAACTTTATCGCCAACATTGAAAATTAAAAAAAACTTTATCGAAAACTTGGATGCTTTGAAAAACTTTATCGAAAAGTTTGATACTTTGAAAAACTTTATCGAAAACTTTGACACTTTGAAAAGCTTTGGCGAAAACTTTGACACTTTGAAAAACTTTGGCGAAAACTTTGACACTTTGAAAAACTTTTACGAAAACTTTGACACTTTGAAAAACTTTGACGAAAACTTTGACACTTTGAAAAACTTTGACGAAAACTTTGACACTTTGAAAAACTTTGACGAAAACTTTGACACTTTGAAAAACTTTGACGAAAACTTTGACACTTTGAAAAACTTTGACGAAAACTTTGACACTTTGAAAAACTTTGGCGAAAACTTTTACACTTTGAAAAACTTTGACGAAAACTTTGACACTTTGAAAAACTTTGGCGAAAACTTTGACACTTTGAAAAACTTTGACGAAAACTTTGACACTTTGAAAAACTTTGGCGAAAACTTTGACACTTTGAAAAACTTTGGCGAAAACTTTGACACTTTGAAAAACTTTGGCGAAAACTTTGACACTTTGATTTACTATAGTTAACTATAGTAAACTATAGTTAACTATAGTTAACTATAGTATTTTTTTGTTAGGGCAACTGAATTAAATCCTGCAGATATGATATCCAGGGGAGTGTCTGTTTCACAGTTACAGGGGGATAATGTTTGGTGGAGTGGACCACACTTTCTTCATCAGGATGAATCGGAATGGCCAATACAGAAAGTCGAAATGCAAGACACTGATATGGAGAAAAAGAAGTTGAACAAGAAAGCTGTCAATTTTTCATATTCGTTCTTGACAGAAACAATTGACTGTAAAGATGTTCAGTGTTGTTTAAACCCAGAAACCTATTCCAGCTGGATACGACTTGTTCGAGTTCAAGCATGGGTGAATCGCTTTCTACATAATTGCAGACTGAAGATCATGGATAGACTCATAGGAGAATTAAATGCTGAAGAACTTGAAGGAGCAGAAACTCAAATCATAAGGACTGCCCAGAAATGTGAGTTTCATTGTGAATACAGATTACTGAATTAAAACAAGCCTCTCCAACAGAACAGCAAGTTATTGTGTTTAAACCCAGTGATCGATGAAGATAGACTTTTGAGATGTGATGGACGATTGAAATATGCAGAATTCTTACCTTATGATGTTAGATATCCCATCATTATTCCGAGAAACAATTATGTCACAACTCTTATTATCAAGTACTACCATGAAAAAGGAAATCATGTTACGGGAACAAATCAAACGTTGTCCATGATCTCGTCACGTTTCTGGATAATATCCGCAAGAGAGGAGATTCGAAAATGGGAGCGACAGTGCAATAAATGTTGTCGCAATAAGGCTAAACCAGCAGAGCAAGTGATGGGTCCGCTTCCATCCATTGGTACCAAATAGCCATTACATGCATTTTCTCGTACTGCAGTAGATTATGGAGGACCTTTTATTACAAAACAGGGACGTGGAAAACGACGGGAGAAAAGATACTTATGTCTTTTCACATGTGTGATGTCAAGGGCGGTACATCTAGAAATAGCCTATGGACTTGACACAGATTCGTTCCTTAATGCATTTTACCGGATGGTGAGCAGAAGAGGCCTACCAAAAGAAGTCATATCCGATAATGGAACTAATTTTTTTGGAGGAAACAATGAACTCAAAGAGCTTGTTGGTTTACTGGACCATGGAAAAATTCAACAGTCTACAGCAAACCTTGGAGTCATGTGGCACTTTAATCCACCACTTGCACCTCACTTTGGAGGGGTGCATGAAATTATGATTAAAGCTGCAAAGAGAGCTATCTATGCAGTGATCGGATCAGCTGATGTTACTGATGAAGAACTCATGACAGCTTTTGTAGGAGCTGAGGCGTTGATCAACTCCAGACCTTTACCTTACCAATCAGCAAACCCAAATGATGATGTTCCAATGACACCGAACCATTTCTTGCATGGGCAGGTTGGGGGTCAGTTTGCACCAGAATCTGTAGACACCACGGAGTTCAATCTCAGGAAACTTTGGAGAAGAATACAGGAACTTGTACGTCACTTCTGGCACCGATGGATGCGCGAGTGGTTACCAGGACTGAATGTGCGTAAAAAAAAAAATGGACTCAGACTCACAGAGATATCCGTGAAGGTGACATTGTGCTTGTGATCGAACCTAATGTACCTAGAGGACATTGGCAATTAGGTCGTCTATTTTTCGTTCATTCCGGCAAAGATGGGCATGTGCGTGTTGCAGTGGTTAAGGTTTGACAAAAGACATTTACGCGCCCTATAACCAATTGTGTTCATTAGAATTTAGTAAATAGATTAACTAGGAGGGGAGAATGTTATTGAGATATGTATGTTTTGTGTAAAAATTATCATTGTTTTGGGATCGGGTTCGGGGTTAAAGATATGCTGTTTAAACGTTGTGTATTCGTAAACCGCATGTTCGGAGATTAAAGTTTTGAAACAAAGAAATCGTTGTTTATCGGCTACAGTTTTGTTTATATTTAAATCTCTTTGAATAATCATT